CACCCCTCCTCGCCCATCGCCGCCTCGCGCCGCGCCTCCGCATGCTCGCGCCCCCCCCCCGCCCCCCTCCCCCTCTCAAGGAGCTTGTCGCATGCCGCCGCAGGCTCCCAGCCCGTCTTCTACTGGTCCTCGACAAAGTGCTACGCCGACCACTACTGCCGCATCTACATGGCGGCGAACCCGATCGTGTGGGGCGTCGGCCTCACCGGCCTCGCCGCGCTCCTCCTCCTCCTCCTCGGCCGCCTCTGCTCCTGCGGCGCGCGGCGGAGGTGCGCGCAGCTGCCGGACACCGCTCCACCCACCCCCTGCCGCCCCTCCCCCTGCCGCTCCTCCCCCTATCGCTCCTCCCACCGGAAGAGCCCTCACGCTGCCGCCCTCACGCTGCCGCCCTCACGCTGCCGCCCGAGGCGCAGGCTTGGCACGGCGCGAGGCGCGCCTGCCGCGGTGCGGCACGGCTGGCTGCTGCTGTGCGGCCACGCGCTGGGGTGGCTCCCCTTCGCGGCCGTCAAGCGCGTCGCGTTCCTCTACCACTACATCCCCTCCCTCCACCTCTCCCTCCTCGCCGCCGGGCTCGCCCTCGACCACCTCCTCCTTGCACACCCCGCGCCGCGCCGCGCGCCCGCTGCGGCACTGGCGACCCCCTCGCAACTCGACCTGGCCGTCGCGCTGACCATCGCCCTCGCGGCGGCGAGCTTCCTCTTCTTCCTCCCGCTCTACCTCGGCTGGCCCATCGAGCCGGCGGACTCGCGCTGGCGCGCGAAGCTGCTCGACCCGTGCCGGCCGGTGCTCGAGTGGGTGGACAGCCACGTGGTGCCAGCCCTGTTCCCCAACGTGTCGGCGGTGGAGCAGTGAGAGAGAGCGCGTCCCGCACGCGTCGCATCGCGAGCGCGCTCCCTCCCCTTCTCCGACCCGTTACGCGTCTGCATGTATCAAGTCCGTTTTGTATATATCACACAATATTTATCTATCTGTTCAGTACACGTTTAAATCCTCGGCCTCTGTGCACTGTGGAACATATTGGTCACATTGCTCGGGGGCCCTTGGCAACCATCATGTCGATATATCGCTCATCGTGCACAAATCCTCCGCAGAGGTAAACTCTCTGGAGCGTCACTCGCGCCTGGTATGCAGTGGGGCTATCAGAGAGTGGGGTTCAGAGAGTGGGGCTTTCAGAGGCCTCCGCGGGGGGCCGCCGGGCATGGGTGCCCCACTGCATGCCCAACGCGATCGTCTCGTTCGTCTCGCGGTACGCCTCTGGCCTGCCGAGCATGTCTGCCGCCGCCGCGAGGTTGGCGGGCATGCTCGCGGCGTCGGAAGTGTTCGGGCTGGCGAGCAGCGAGCGGAAGGAGAGGAGGATGGCGCGCACGCCGCCTGCGCAAGACCAGGCATCCCGATCCCGCAGCAAGTCCATGCAGACCGCGCCGCTGCATGGGTCTATGTTGGGATGGTGCGGGACGGGACGGTTCACGATGAGCTTCGGCGCCACGTTCGGCCACTCGCCGCCGCAGCAAGCTGGACAGAAGCGGAGAGTGCACCGGACCCGCCGGTCCTGCCACGGCGTCCCTTCGGGGCCCTCGACGAACGCAGTCCACGTGTGGAGGCGCGTCTCGTCCTCGGGGAAAGCGGAGACGCCGCTGCCGGCGCAATGTCTGTGAAAGTGCATGAGCTCCGCAAGGAGGGCGCGCGAGAGGTTGCTGGTGATGCACGACGGAGAGCACACGTGCACAGCCGCGGCCCTCCCCGCCGGCGCTTGCAAGAATTGGATCGCCTGCATCGCCTGGCGGAGCGGGGCGGTGCCTCTCGAGCTCAGCGAACTCCCCGCACCGGTCGAGGCCTGTAGCTCGCGCCCGTCCGCACTCGCGAGCAGCATCTCCTCCAACGCCACCGCGAGGGCGTAGAGGGAGTGGTTGGAGCGCGACCGGTTTGGGCCGTGCAAGAAGCCGCGCGCCAGGCGGAGCAGGCCGGCGCCGAGGCCGCAGGGACTGGGCGAGATGCGCAGCAGCCGGCAGAGCGGCGCCTCCTCGACGAGCGCACCGCCGGTAGACGCCTCCTCCTCCGCCTCCGCGGCCTCCGCCTCTGCGGCCTCAGCGTTGTCCCTGCCCGTGTACGCGCTCCAGGGGACGGCGGCACGCGATTGGAGCAGCTGCAGCGCCGAGTGCACAAGCGCGCGGCCCGTGATGCGCGCGCGAAGCCGTGACGCCGCAGAAGCGGTGCCGCTCTCTGCGAGAGGCTCCAGCGCGGCTGTGACCTCCTGACGCAAGGCGGCGGCCAGCTCCCCGCGCTGGAGCGTGCCGCACGCGCGGTGGAGTGCCAGCGTCATCGCCCGCCCCACCACCACCCCCTCGGCCGGGATGGGGCGGGCCCACTCGACAGTCCTAGGCTTGAACCCGCGCAAACGCTGGCGCGGCAAGCCCAAGACGGAGAAGCTCCCGGTAACTGGTTCGTCAGCCTGCGCAGCCTGCGCGGTCCAGTCGCGTATCGCCGCCGCGAGCTCGTCTCGATCCCGAGCGAAGTCTGCCGGCGCGCCATCAAACCGCTGCAGCCGCGCTTGCACAGCAAGGGTGCATCCGATGTGCTCGGCGAGGTGGAGGATGGCGTGACGCACCGCGATGATTTGCCGGAGCGAGCCGCCCGTCATCGACACCGCGCACAGAATGCGAGGCAGTCGCACGGCAAACTTCACCGCGTCCTCAAAGGCAGGCTTCTGAACGGCCCACTCGACGAGGCTGTACTCTTTCGGCGTGCGCCGCAGAGCGTCCCACCGTGGCAGCCCCGCCAGCTGGCATGCGTGCCCAAACGCGAGGGATGGCTCATCGTACGCCGCGGCAACGATCCAGTTGACGTTCACCTCCTCGCTCTCGATGCGGCACAAAACCGTGCGGATGTGGCGGAGGGCGGGCGCACGGGTTGTTTTGGCCACGAGGACGAGCCTGCGCGCAGCAGCGAGCGAGGCAAGCGCGACGAACTCGCCAACGTCCTCCTCGATGATGGACGTGAGAGAGGGCGACGCCATAACGTGGGTGCACGAGGCCCGTGAGGGGCTTCGGCACCCGGTCCAGACGATGAGCGAGTAGGCAGAATGGCGCGGTCCGCGAGGAGCGCGCGCGGCGGTCCGGTCCCACGCAAGTCGGCGAGGCCCGGCGAGGCCCGCAAGTAGTGTCGGAATTCTTTTTGTTCGACTCTGTGAGTGAAGTGTCAGTCCCGTGCCTAGTGTCGAGCGAGGGAGTTTTGTTCTAAAATCCTTTTTGTCGTTTGGTTCATCTCCGCCCGCGTCTCCTGCCACCCAAAAGAGAAAAGTGGCCGCTTGCATTCTAAACAGCGCTACTTCTGATTGATATTCCCGCACCCTCCCGCATGGATGGTGATACCCGTCGACTCAACAGTGGTAGGCTCTACCATGCGCTTCATTCCGTGGTCTGTGGTGGGCAATCCGGCCCTCCTCCAGCTGCCCCCTCCTCCTCCGGGGATGCAACCGTCGTGGGCCCAGATTCCGCAGTGGGTCGCCATCAGTGCGCTGCTCCCCTTCAGTGAGCCCGAGCCCGCTGTGGCCGCCCACTTTGACAGGCTCAGCGTCTTGCGGCTGGCCGTATCGGCCGCGGCTTGGCGCCGCATCCTCGGTGCCTTGTCCGACCTCGGCGTTTTCGGCACGGTGCACGTGGATGAGGATGCGTTCCGTACGGTGTGCATCCAGGCTCTGCACTCCCGCCAAATCCCGGTGCCCGAGCTCTATCTGCAGTGGGGCGATTTGGGGCACTCTGAGGCTATCGTGCCCTTGGGACCAGCGCCATCTGCAGAAGCGAAGGCCGTCGACTTCTTGCAGTACGCGACGGTCGGGGCTCTTTGCGACCCTACGGCCGACGTCCCGTTCGCAGCCCTGTCTGACATGACCCGCTGCTTGGGGCCCGTCTTCACGGCGGCGGCGCGCGTCGATCCCATGGGGAGCGCCGTCGTGGGGGCTGCATCGCTCGCCGCCGCCGCTGGTCACATTACTCCACGAGCGAGCGATGGGCATCCTGCCCTGCTCTCTCGGCATGTGATCAGCATGCTGAAGACTACCCGCTCGAGTTTCCCGGCCTGCCTGAGGACCAACTCCTTTCAGAACTACTCTGCGGAGGTTCCCCCCCCCCGGCGCGCAGCGCCGGGAGGCGCGCAGCGCCGAACCCACAAAACCCCCTCGCAGCGTTCCCGGAGTTCGGAGATTAAAAGAAACACAATTTCGTGGCAATTTTTCGGTGCTCCCCGCACCCCTAACGCGCGCGCGCAGCGCGCGCTAGTGATGCCGCAGGCACCCCTAAGCGGCACGCAGCGCCGGCGCACCCCTAAAACGCGCGCGCAGCGCGCCAGGCGCCGCAGGCGCCCCTACGGCGGCGCGCAGCGCCACTGCACCCCAAAAACGCGCGCGCAGCGCGCGCTAGCGGCGCGCAGCGCCGCCGCAGGCGGCGGACAGCAGGTGCGCGAAATTAAACGCCATTTTCGGTTCCGCGGTTTTGCCACTAACATCGAAATCCGGTACAAATCGACTTAGCCGAAACAGCTGACAGACAGACAGAGAGTACACAAGTTCAAACGAGGGTTGCGCCGGTCGCCGCCGCGCACCCACCCGAGCTAGATGGCCCCATAGGACGCCCTCTCCCTCTGGGCTCGGCTCTGGACGCCTCCAGGGCAGCATGGGTAGGCCGGAACCGCGCCACGGTTACGCCGAGGCCGCGCAGCAGAACCGACGGCGATCGTGGCGACGGTGTCTCGACGCTGCACCGGCGCGAGAGGCGGCCATAAGGGCGCCGGCGATGGCAGCGCCGGCCGTGAGGAAGGCGGCCGCGGCCCTGGCGGCTCAGCGAGCTCGGTGGAGCGAGCAGTAACAGCTGAGAGACTGGAGAGTCCGCGTGTGACCTTGTCGCGATGCAAGTGCCAAAAAGCGTTGTTTGCGGCTATTGCTCAAAATTTCGGGAGAGAAGGCCTACATATTATGAGTGCATGCATCCGTTCGGCGCATGAGAGCTGCGGGACGAGACGTATCACGGTCGACCGAACGTCTCGTGGAGCAGCAGGTTGAAGTTGTTGCGCTTGACAAAGATCGCGTCGTGGTAGAAACCGCGATGCGCCTTGACGTAGCCGTGGCCCCGTTCTTGTGGTCGAAGGGTTGGCCGGGCTGCCCGCGCGCCTTGCAGCCCATGTTTAGGCGGCGGGCCTTCTCCTCGGTGTTGCCTAAGGCGTAGGAGTGGCCAACGGAGGCGGGCGTGCCGCCGCTCGAGGCGTTGCCAACGCCCGCCGAGGAGGTCTTGAGGAGGGGCGTCCAGAGCTTGACTTCATTCACCTCATCGCATCCTCCCGGGCCAACGTGGGGTTCCGCGAGGTCGACCTTGTACCCCTCGTTGTACTGCCGGGTGAGCTCTGGTTTCTCCTTGTCGCCGTGCACGACCGGCGCGTGTGTTTTGTTGTTTTGCACTGACCACTGTGAGAGATGCACACTGGGATAGGGTCCCAACTTTGTTTGACGTTAGGTCGCGTTCAAATGCCCGGAAATGCCGTTACAGTGGTGTCCGGCCGGCGCGATCACCGACCTGTGACGCTCCGCAGAGAAGCCTGATGAGGTGCTGGTGGTTTCGCTTTGCAGGGCTGGCCGCCTACGGCCCAAGCGCTCTGAGCAAGGTTTGGGAAGCGAATCTCCCCCATTTAGATCTTCAGATATTTTGACTGACGACCGAAAATGGGCAAACACGGGGTGATTTTGGTAAATATACTTTCGCTGCAGCTGGTACCTTCGTTCAGCCTCAGATGCGAATGCTCTGGATCACCTCGCATAGGAGCTCTTTGTCGAGCGACGCAAAATTCCCGCTCGCCTGAACCGACCCGAAATTGAGCACGATGTAGCGGACGCAGAAGGCGCGGAGCCCGGGCGCATCATGCGCATTGGCCGCGCTGAGAAACGCGCAGACCGAGCTTGCCGTGACGCGGCGGGTGATTGAATCTTGCGCCAACGACTGCAGCCGCGGCAGCTCCCACATCATCGAGAGGCGCAGCACTTCCACGGCGTGCTCGTCGTCGACCTCCAGGCGGTCGGTATGCAGGAACAGCAGCACGGCGCGCACCGACTCAAAGCTATCTTCGGTGAGCGTGATCTCATCGCTGGTGGATTCGCTGAAGCCCGAGGCGAGCATGGTTCTGAAGTGGGCACACCGAGTGGTGAGCAGCCCGCGCAGCGTGTACAAGGTCTTGCCCTCGACGACGATCTTGAAGTCCGCGGCGTCTTCGTTGCTCATCAGCCCCTCGAGGTCCGCCTGGAGCGTCGACAGCGGGATCTCCACTGACGACTCGATGCGCACTCGAAACGAGCGCAGCCGCTTATTGTTGATGTCAGTCAGCACGACCAAACCTCTTCCGTCGGAGGTGATGCGTCCAGTAGAACCATTGTGGAAGCGCGCGTCCGTGCCTACCATGTCCTTGTAGCCCGAAGAATTGTGTGCCCCTGCAATGGTCGTCACGTGATGTGTCGGGGACACGCAGCGGACTGTGTGAGGCTCGACAACATAGAGCCAGCCGTCGACGCACACGACATCGGTAGGACTGCACATTGCGGCGGCAGTCCCCTGGGCATCCACCACACGAGACTGACCGTCGCCAGCAATGGTAGTCGTTTCCCATCGCCGCCCCTCATCTCCGGGTCGCACCTTGCGGATCCGGTGGTTGTTTCTGTCGGCCACGTAGAGATTATTGTCCGCATCGACGCATATGCCGTGTGGACAGTTGAACCGCGCACTGCCTCCGACTCCATCGACATGCCCGGCCTCGCGGCTGCCACACACTGTCACAACTTCGCCTCGCTGCAGGGCTACCTTGCGAATGCAATTGGCGTCGACCACGAGCAAGTCGTCGTTGCCATCCACCACGAGTGCACGTATCTCCGAAAAGCCTGCAGACTCGCCAGAAGCGTCGTTGCCTCCAGGCCCACCGCCTGCAATGAATGACACTTCGCCAGTGTTGAAGTCGACTCGATGGATCTTGTTGGAAGCAGCCACGAAGAGATATCCAAGTCGATTGCAGGCCATGGCCTGTGGCGGCGCAGGCAGCCCACAGAGCACATCGACCATCTGAGATTCGAAGTCGAGGAAGCGGATTTGGGGATTGGATGCGTGGGAAAAACCAACGTATATTCGGCTACAATCGGGGCTGTACGCAACACCTCCATTGCACGTAATCATGGTAGAGTAGAAGCTTTGGCGAGGCTCGATTTCACTACCACCACCCGCCAAAGTCGAGATGAATGCCGGCGAGCCCGAAACGCTAACGACGTTGCTGCCACGCGCGATACAGCGAAGGGACGCAAGGCGCGCGATCGTCCCTCTCACATTTCATTCACTCACGTTCACCTTTCGCAATAGGGTAGGCAGGTAGGGCCCCGTCCGGAGTGCCCCGCCATAATTCTCTTAAAGAAAGAAAGAAAACAGACAACCCAGGGAGGGATGGGAGGACGGCACGCCGCCACCACACAGGGATTTTAAGGAGAGGGGTGTGGTGCGCTAGCCGTCGCCCACCCTTGGGCGTCTGCTTCTTCCTATCTCTCTTCGCAGCCCGTCGCCGCTTTTCGAAGTCTTTCTTTCGCACACGCGGCTCACCTGCTTGCACACACTCAACAACCTTGAACACACATGCTCCGCCCCACCCGCGCCTCTCCTCGGCTCGCCGGGCTCAAGCCGGCCCGGTCGCAGTCGCCGTCGCGTGCCGGCGGCTCCACGCCCGCCACCTCGTCGACGAAGCCCGCACGCAAGGCTGGCGGCAAGCCCCAGCCAGAGTACGAGTTTGGCGGCCCAGCCGGCGCGGCGGGCGTGATGCTGCTCCTGCCGCTGGTCATCGGCTTCCTGTACGCGGGGTGCGGCAAGCACGGGTGCATACGCCTGCCCGAGGACGCGCTCGACGTGCTCGCCGCCGCACCGCTCGCTCCGCTGTGGGACTGGACGGCTGCGGCGGTGGTGGCTGGGTGGACGGCGCTGCACTTCCTGCTGTACGTCGCGCTGCCGGGGCCGCGGGTGGAGGGCGTCGTGCTCGCGGACGGCTCGCGCCTCAAGTACCCGATGAACGGCCACCTCGCCTTTTGGCTCTCGCTCGCCGGCTTTTGGCACGGGCTGCCGCTGCTCGGCTGCAAGCAGTCGTGGGTGTACGACGCGTACCTCCCGCTCGCGACGGCGGCGTGCGCGCTGTCGGTCGCCCTCTCCGTCTGGTCGCACGCCCTCTCCTACCTCCCGAACACACCCCTCGCCGAGGGAGGCCAGACGGGCAACCCGGTCCGAGCAGAGCCTCCGCCCCGCCTCGGATCCACCTCGGATCCACCTCGGCCAAACCTCGGCAGCACCTCGGCCGCACCACGCCAGCACCACGCCAGCACCTCGCAGGTGTACGACTTCTTCATCGGGCGGCCGCTCAACCCGCGGATCGGGTCGCTCGACCTCAAGGCGCGCACACACCTCGCCCACACCTCGCACACACCTCACACACTCGCACACACTTCGCACACACCTCGCACACACCTCGCCCACACCTCGCCCACACCTCACACACTCGCACACACCCCTCGCACACACCTCGCCCACACCTCGCCCACACCTCGCCCACACCTCACACACTCGCACACACCCCTCGCACACACCTCGCCCACACCTCGCCCACACCTCGCCCACACCTCGCCCACACCTCCCACACACCTCCCACACCCCTCGCACACACCTCGCCCACACCTCGCCCACACCTCCCACACACCTCGCCCGCACCTCGCTCGCACCTCCCACACCTCGGCTCGCCTACGTGCCTCCCAGGCGTGCTGCGAGCTGCGGCCGGGGCTGGTCGGGTGGGCGGTCCTCAACTTGGGGCTGGCGGCGAAGCAGCACGAGCAGCAGGGCGAGGTGTCTTGGTCGATGGCTGATTATACAACGAGCCAGAGGTTGCTAATGAACTCGTAATCAACTAGGCGAGGTGTCTTGGTCGATGGTCGCCGTGGTTGGGGGGCAGCTCCTGTACGTGTGGGACGCGCTCTACAACGAGCAGGCCAGCTCTCGAGATTGGCCGGAGATTGGCCGGAGATTGGCCGGAGATTGGCCGGGCGAGATGACTCGCTCTTAGAACCTAGCAGCGTGATCTCGCGTGATCTCGCGTGATCTCGCGTGATCTCGCGTGGCCTCACCCTCAGCGATGAGTGTGACTCTGATGTGACTCGCAGGCGATCCTCACCACCATGGACATCACCACTGACGGCTTCGGCTTCATGCTTGCCTTTGGCGAGCCCCGCGCGGCCTGCCACCTCCCTCCACCTCCCCTCCTTCAGCCGTCGCCGGGGAATGGCCCCTCAGGCGACCTCGCTTGGGTCCCCTTCACCTACTCGCTCCAGGCGCGAGATATGGGGAGATATGGGGAGATATGGGGAGATAGAGCTGGGTCCCCTTCACCTACTCGCTCCAGGCGCGCAGCCTCGTCGGCCCCTCGCCCGTCCGATGAATCAGCCGCCCACCCCCATCCATCCACCAGGCGCGCATCCTGGTGGACCACGACCCTCGCCTCCCCGCGCCGGCCGTCGCCGCCATCGCCGCCCTCGGCGCGCTCGGCTACGTCGTCTTCCGCGGCGAGCTGAGACGGAGCCGAGATGCGAGATTGCACGAGATTTGCCAAAGCACGACTTCCGAGCCGGACTGAAGGGGGCGGGGGGGGGGGGGGGCATGGGGGAGGGAGAGGCGAGCTCTGAGATCGTCCGAGATCGTCCGAGGCGCGCGCAGAAGAGTTTCAGAGCTGCTGACAATGACAGGCGCCAACTCGCAGAAGGACGCCTTCCGACGCGACCCGTCCGACCCTGCCGTCTCGCACCTGCAGTGGATGCAGACCAAGCGCGGCCCCGAGCCGCTCGTCCCGGCGGCTGCGAGGCCCGTTCTCGGACCGCCGCCTTCTCGCCGCTGATAGGCGCGGCACCAAGCTGCTCGTCTCGGGCTGGTGGGGCGCAGCGCGAAAGATCAATTACACCGGCGACTGGCTGATGGGCCTCTCGTGGTCGCTCGCCTGCGGCGCCGCCTCGCCGGTGGCCTACTTCTACCCAGTCTACTTTGCGGTCCTGCTCGTCCACCGCGCGCTGCGAGACGACCACTTCTGCGCCACCAAGTACGGCGCCGATTGGGAGGCGTACAAGCGGCGCGTCCCGTTCGTCTTTGTGCCAGGCATCCTCTGAGTAGTCCTCGGAGGATCCCGCCGAGGCGCGACCGCCGGCGAGGCATGCTGTATGCCCGGCGCGGCAGAGGGCAGAGCCCGTGCCGCCGGGTCATATCCTCATATCCGAGGCAGACGCCGCGCACAATCATTCGCGTTCCGATGACCGATGTGAGGACGCTCAGCATAGGAGATCAGTAATTACGCGGGTACCCAGCGTCACGCTCGAGCGCTACAACGCATTACGATTACGCGTGCTGTGGCCTTGCTAGGAGCTCGCGCTCAGCGGCGCCTTTGCACTTGAACTCTTGAGAAGACTCTCTTACATATGTATAAAAGTGAAATCGACGATCGCATGCGAAGCGTTGCGCGACTCCTAGCGTTATGCGAGGGGGGGCGCCGCGCTGCACACAGACACACATCACAAACTCAGGACACAGGAGCGCATGGGACGGTGCAGGGCTCGCTCTCCTCTCGCTCTCCGCTGCCACACATATGCATGTCACATGTGCAGCACCATGGACGTGCCGTTCGTACCTCTACCTGCCCTGCGCATACTCGATGATCCCGGATCCTAGATCCAATACATTAGCTTCCGCCACTCTCGGGCCTCTAAATTAACTTCGGTGCCAGCGCGCCAGCCAGCGCTGCCCTCGGTGTGCCAGCTCAGACGGTAGTGCCCGTCTTCGTCAACTTTACTTGATCCATAGTCGCAGCCGAGGACGTCTGCAGTGCACAGCGTGACGGCGGCGACGCGGGAGAAGCCAAAGGACCCCCCGTCCTCCTCCTCGTCTTCAATGTAATTGTACCAAAAGGCCCCGTTCTCCTCGTGCGTCTCATTCTCGCTGCTCGTCCGTCGCAGCACCTCGTCGCGCCGCCCGCACGCACCGAGCGCGATGGTGCCGTCGGGTGCCCTCGCTCCAACAAAGATGTGCGTCGCCTCCGCCGGCACGCTCTCGATTTTCATAAGAGTCGTTACGTGGGAGTACGGCTCATCGATGTGCTGCTTCCATCCGGTGAGAAAGGCATTTGGAATCGACCGATGCACGCCATGAGACATGCGCGGCCGAGTGCGCGGGCTCGAGGCAGACGCAGCTGCGGAGGCGGTAGGCCGCAGCGCCTGGTGGCGGTACGCCTCGTAGAGCAGCTCCTTGCCGCCCTCGTACGCGGTCAGCACGCCCTCGACGCGGTCGGCGAGGAAGGTTGGCTCCATCAGCGGGTAGCGCACGAGAGAGAACAGCTCGAGCTTCTGGGCGGCGGCGAGGGGCGGCGAGCACTTGGAGAGCCAGCCATCGAGCGCCTCGAAGACGACATCCTCGCCGGCCATGAGCGCGTCGCTACACAGCAGAGTCTTGAGCATGTCGAGCGAGAGGCGGTGAAAGTCGGGCTGCTGCGAGAGCGTCTTGAAAAGGTGCTCCGCCATCTTTTCGCACGCCGCGCGGACTGCGTCAAGCTCCGGCCGGCCAATCGAGACTGCCACCGCCCAGGAGGCGATGCACGATTCGAGCGTGAGTGTGGACGCGAGAGACTCGGCGCCCAGCGCCAGGAGCGAGGGGACCTCGAGGCGGCTGGCGGCCATCATCACGCCGGCAAGCGTCTCGGGCTTCGCCTCGAGCCGCAGGGTGTACAGGAAGCGGAGGACGGCGCGCATATCGTCGGCGGCGATCTCGCTGATAGTCACCACGTCCTCGGCGCTCTCGCGCATCGCGCTGGAGAAGAGCGCCTTGAAGTAGTCGGAGCCGGCGGCGAGCACGAGCCGATGGGCTTCAAAGCGCTCGCCGCTGTCGACTTGGATGGTGACGTCGCAGAAGCGGCCCTGCTCCCACAGCGCGGTAAAAGAGGCGTCCCGTGCCGCGAGGTGGCCAGCGGCGGCGCCGCCCGCGGCGGCCTCGGTGCGCGCGCGCTTCTTGGACATGGAGGCTGGACTCGCGACACGGGGTAACCTGTCGTCAAGACTTGCCTCCCGCTTCCCGCGCCGCCGCGCTCACAGGGCACGCGGGCTTTTCTTTTTCAATGTCTTCTAAGTTATTTTTTCTGCCAAACAGCCGGACCAGCTCACTCCCGCTGTTCAGAGTTGTCCATCGATGCGCCCATCTCTAATTCTAATTTTAGCCTGCCCGAGCCACGCCTTCCCGCGGCTCGTCGCGAGTGGAGACGCAAAGGACGACGACCACCGCATCTGCGCCGACAAGGACGAGAACTGCGCCGGCTGGGCTGCAACGGGTGAGTGTGAGGCAAACCCGAGCTTCATGCTGGCCAGCTGCGCGGACTCGTGCACACACTGCAGGCAGGGCCGACCTGGCGAGATGCGCTCGCGCGAGGAGCGGCTCAAGCGGAGAGACAATGCGTGCGACGACCTCGACGATGACTGCGAGGCGAGGGCCGCGGCCGGCGCGTGCCACGACGGCTCCGACGGTCTGGTGCGCTGCCCGTCCTCGTGCCGAGTGTGCAGATTCAAGCGAGTGGTTGGCGAGGCGTTTGATTGCGGCTCCTTCTCGTCCCAGGGTGCGCAGCTATCGACACACTCGTGTCGTGGTAGCGGCTAGCGCCTGTAGCGGACTTCGGTGCGAGGCGAGGGTGCACTTCTCCCGCGGATGGACCGTTGGCGCGTGACTAGGCGCGTGTGAGGCGAGGCGGAGGCGCTGCGCCCGCCCACCCGACACTCCCCCCGCGGTGACGCGGCCGGAGGAGGGAGGGCAGACGATCGACGCGACGATGCGGCGCATCCTTCGCGACTTTCCGCAGGCAGCGCTCGCCGGCCCGCCCTGTGTGTGGAGGAGGAGGTCTGCCTCACCCTGCCGGCTCACCCTGCCCGGCTTGTGCTAACCCCGCAGTACGCGCCGCGAGCTGTGTCGCGGCCGGGCGGGCCGCACGGCGAGGGCGCCCCCTGGGTGATGTCGCTCTCCAACTTTGTGAGCGACGAGGAGGCGGAGGCAGACTCGGGCGGCTGAGCGAGCGAGCCGTCACGCACGGAGCTTTCCCCTCAGCCCTAAAGTGCCGCCCCGCAGGCCTTTATCGCCGGCTGCTCGAGCCACTTCTCGCGCTCGCTCGCAGGTGGTGCGGCGAGGCCGCGGCGATTGCCGTCGCCTCGGCTGCGGACGGCTCTCTGGTTGGTTCACTCAGGCGACGAGCTCTCCCCGGTGCGCACGAGCTCGCAGTGCTGGTGCTCGAACAACGCGTGCGAGCGCAGCCCGCTGACGCAGGCCGTGGCGCACCGGATCGCAAACCTGACGATGGCGAGACGGAGCCGAGAGGGAGTTGTGCCCGAGAGGAGCGGAGAGGGGCCGAGAGGAGCCGAGAGGGGTCGAGAGGAGCCGAGAGGGGCCGAGAGGAGCCGAGAGGAGCCGAGAGGGGCCGAGAGGAGCCGAGAGGGGTCGAGAGGAGCCGAGAGGGGCCGAGAGGAGCCGAGAGGAGCCGAGAGGAGCCGAGAGGAGCCGAGAGGAGCCGAGAGGGGCCGAGAGGAGCCGAGAGGGGCCGAGAGGAGCCGAGAGGGGCCGAGAGGAGCCGAGAGGGGCCGAGAGGAGCCGAGAGGGGCCGAGAGGGGTCGAGAGGAGCCGAGAGGGGCCGAGAGGAGCCGAGAGGAGCCGAGAGGAGCCGAGAGGAGCCGAGAGGAGCCGAGAGGAGCCGAGAGGAGCCGAGAGGGGCCGAGAGGAGCCGAGAGGGGCCGAGAGGAGCCGAGAGGGGCCGAGAGGAGCCGAGAGGGGCCGAGAGGAGCCGAGAGGGGCCGAGAGGGGTCGAGAGGAGCCGAGAGGGGCCGAGAGGAGCCGAGAGGAGCCGAGAGGAGCCGAGAGGGGCCGAGAGGAGCCGAGAGGAGCCGAGAGGAGCCGAGAGGAGCCGAGAGGAGCCGAGAGGGGCCGAGAGGAGCCGAGAGGGGCCGAGAGGAGCCGAGAGGAGCCGAGAGGGGCCGAGAGGAGCCGAGATGAGCCGAGGAGAGCCGGGGTCGCAGACGATGACGGACCTCGCACGACCAGCGCTACCGAGGCGCTCGACGACACGCCCACGACACGCCCACGACACGCCCACGAGCCACGACACGCCCACGACACGCCCACGACACGCCCACGACACGCCCACGACACGCCCACGACACTTGGAGGCGGGATTGGCGTAGGTGCCGCACGAGCGCTACTTTGAGCCCTTCCAAATCCTGCGGTACGAGCCGGGCCAGTTCTACCGCGTGCACCACGACCAGAACTGCGGCCTCTTCACACCACAGGGCGCGCGAGTGTACACCTTCTTCATGTATCTGTCGACGCCCGAGCGCGGCGGCGGGACGCGCTTCGCCGACATCGACGAGACCGTGCCCGCCGTCAAGGGCTCCGCGGTGCTGTGGCCGTCGGTGCGGAACGACGACCCTGACGAGGACGAGCCGAGGACCCACCACGAGGGGCTGCCGCCCGACGTCGGCGTCAAGTACGCCGCAAACGTGTGGGTACACAACTACGACTACCGGACGCCTTCGGCGAATGGTTGCCCCTTTTGCTATAAGAACACGAGGTGAGATGTCCGTGGTTTCTGGGTGAACTGTAAAAGGACTTCTATTTTTCGTGGACCGCATGCCGCTAGGCAGAACGAAAAAAATTCTGTAATTTTTCACGGTCACGCTCAACCCTCCCAGGCACTAGGCTGGCACTCTAGGGCACGCGGACGCGCGCGAAACTAAGAGAGAATTGGCTGTGACGAATCAGCGTAAGCGCTAAGCCTAAGCGCTTCTTCCAAGAGCGCCTGAAAGCGCCACCGGGAGGAGCGCGGGGAGCGGCGCCCTCGGCCGCGCAGGTGGCGCAGCAAGAGAGGGCGGCGCGCGGGAGCAATCGTACCAAGTGCAAGTCGGCCATGAAGTCGGCCGAGACGCGCGAGAGCTCCGCCGGCGCGAAAATGCGATATCATCAGCGCTTGGTACTTGCTCCTTATCCCGACAACGCAAGCCGTTCGAACATGAGGATCTGCATCCAAGTCGCTTTCTCGACACGGCTCTCGGCCGCAAAGGTGAGGCAGGTGAGCTGCACTCTCGAGGTCTTCAGCCCACTGCTTCGTGGCGTGAGCGCTCCCTGCGGTGAAGATATCTTCACCTATAACGAGGATTGAAGGGGCGGAGGTTGGATGAGCGGAACACGTGGGTCATGAGGTGCAAGAGTGAGTGGCAATTCCGCCTTGAACACGTAAGGGAACGAAGCCCCTCTTCGCGGCTTAGCGTCGGGGATGTCAAGAATCTGCAGTCGGTCGTCGAGAACAAACTCGGCCACAGGACGGTCCAGCCGGCTGAGGCCAAAGATCGCGAGGGTGCCAGCGCGCAGCACCTGAGTAGAGAGCGCGATCGCTTAGTGGCGGACTCGCGTGCGAGCAGCAGGTGTGCGCAGGAAGCTGCCACGATGCGCTTGGCGCTCTTAGCCAGCGAGCCCGACGACGATTTTACCTTTCGCAACGGGGCGAGAGACGATGGGGAGGTGGGGGGGGGGGGGGGGGAGTTACGACTTTGGTGTGCGTACCTGTAGGAGGCCCTGCAGGCTCTGCAGGCTCCTCCCACCGAGCAACTCTCCAAGCTGCAAGCTGGTGTCCTCGCGGGGGTCGATGGGCTCATTGCTAGGCGCGGTCTGCGCGTTGTTAACGACCTCACTTACTCCATCGCTGCCAGCCTCGACGGCTCCGACGTTGACTCCGACGCGGCCCCCGCCACAGCCGCCGATGCCTTCATCGCTACTGCCCGCGCCGCTACATTCGCCACCTTGATTGCTCATTGCGTTCCCTTTGGCCGGCGTTGGCGGGGCGTCCGACTGAGCGCTCAGACTCGCACCACTTACTCGCAGTGGCGGTCCATGTGGGGCATGCGCACTCGTGGGTTGCCACCCCTCTCCGTGCGATAGGCGCCGAGCCAGGACCAAGTCCGCAGCCTCGAGGTTAGCTCTCAGGTCGGCCGCCTGTGGGGCGCAAGGTAGGCGAAGCAAACGTGTCTCCACGTCATGAGCTAGGCAGGAGGACCCCAGTGGGCGCGGCTACCTGTGAGGCACACTCCTTGACGTCCGCGGTGATGAAGGCGGAGAATGCAAAATATAGAGACTTGAGTTGGCCTTCGAGGTCCTCAACTCTGGCATCGCTGAGATCATAGCGGATGGACGCGGCGGCCAGCTTCTCGCGCAATGCAGCTACCTCTGCCGCCGATGCTTCTGCGTGGGCCGCAGCCGCGAGGCTGCCGTCGCCGCAAGCGCCGTCAGCCTCTTCAAGCTTCTTGAGAGTGCTTTGCTGCAATTTTCGCATGCTCTCGACCTCTGACAGAGCTGATGATGCGGTCACCTCCGCCTGGGCGGCTCGGTGCTCAGCAGCCTGGATAGCCAGCTCCGCACTGCCGCCCATCGACCTCGATCGGTTCTCGAGTCCCGACTCCAAATGCAGCTCGAGTTCAGCCACACGTGCCCTGAGCTCACCAGAAGCTTCGGTGCTGCATGCTTCCCTCAGGGCCGCCGCAAGTTGCGCCACGGAGAGCCCGCCTCTCATCTCGAGCGCAATCCTGAGCTGACGTTCTAGCCGCTCCTTTTGCAGCTGGAGGTGTGCGGCTTGTTGCCGGTGGTGCCGAAGCTGGGCGCTCAGCGCGGTGAGCCCGCTTGCCGGCTGGGGCACGCTGTCTTGCATGGCTCTTGTGTGCAAGCGGACGCGAGTTGTTGTTCGCCCGCCGCGAGTGCAAACTCGATAAAGCCTTCTTCTTCTTCAAATTGGGTTGCGGTGACAGATGCCCCCCCCCCCTTCAGGTTTTCGCAGTTTTCCCGTGCCTAGTCGTAAAGAAAGAAAACAAGGGGCGGGATGGAGGACGGCACGCCGCCACCATATACCCGTATATTAAAATGAACTCCATATACCCATATACGGAATTTAAGGAGAGGCGTGTTGCGTAGGAAGCCGCCGGATATAACTGGGGCCCCGGACGTAAGTGGGGCGGGCCGGCGGGCCCCGGCCGGGTCAAAAGTGGCCGCTCCCGGGCCGCCGAGCGTGCTTTTGCCGGGCCGGTTTTCTCCTCGCCGGGCCCGCCTCGCGCAAAACGGGCCCGGCAAACCCTCCCGTCCGGGTCCGGCTGTGAGTGAGCGGGCCGGCCTATGTGCCGCAGACGGGCCCGGGCAGGACGGTTTGCCGGGCCGGTTTTCTCCTCGCCGGGCCCGCCTCGCTCCTCGACCTGCTGGTTTGGGCGCATCGGCCCGGGAGTGGCAAGCCGGGCCCGGCAAAGCGCGCGGGCCGGGCCCGGCACGGGTCCGAGCCGGGCCCGGCAGGGGCCCGAGCCGGGCCCGGCCTGGGCCGGCGCCCCACTTTGCAAATCGACCCGTTTCCCATCCAATATCTCCCACTCGGCCGCGGAGGCCCCAACTGAGAGCGGGGCCCGGGGGAGGGGGTCCCTACTGGTCGTGCCCACCCCTCGCACGACCCCGGGCGACAGCAGGGGACCCCGCAGCAGCAAACCCGCCCCACTTACATCCGGCGCTTCAAGGAAAGAAAGAAAGAAAGAAAACAGACAACCCAAGGGAGGGATGGGAGGACGGTACGGCGCTTCAAGGTTGGAGCGCTTGAACTGCGGAAATTAGAAAGAAAACAGACAACCCAAGGGAGGGATGGGAGGACGGCACGCCGCCACCACATAGGGATTTTATGAAGAGGGGTGTGGTGCGCTAGCCGTCGCCCACCCTTGGGCGTCCGCCTCTTCCTATCTCTCTTCGCAGTCTCTCGCCGACTCTCGCTGCAACCTTCATGCCACCCCGCGGTCGTCCCACTCTCGTCGTTCCCTCCCTTGTCACTTCCTCCTCTGTCGCGTCATTCTCTTCTGCCTCGTCCTGCGGCGCCGCCGCCTGCCGGTCCCTTGTTCTCGCGGCTTCTTTCGCCTTTCGGCGCAACTCAAACAACAGGGCTCCAGGCCCCAAATTACGTGTGAGTGTTAGAGTTGTTTGGTATTGCTAAAAATCTCTCGCAACTCCGTCCTCCCTTGCTGCGTATCCTGGCCCCTCAAGTCTATCGAGCTCTCCTCGCGCAAGGACGAGTCTTCTGATGCCCACTGCGATCATTTGCCACCCAGTCATGTCGTTGCTCAGGTCCACTCTCTCTTCGAACACTTGTACCTCTACGGATGATGCCGGCGCTGGGGTCCCCTTCGGATGCGTCGTGACATCTGACAACTGGATTTCCACTGGTTCGTCCTCCTCGAAGTCATCTTCTCCGGCTTCCTTCCGCTCGGCTCTACATTCTTTGTCTGCTGTGAGACATCGTCTGCTAAATTCTTTATGCTAAAATTCTTTTTCTCAAACCCAAGAGAGAAGGACGCCGCTGGGAGAGAGCCGCCCGACTCCAGAAGCTAGCGCCGACGGCTGCGGGAGGCTCGATCGGGTAGCGCGGTATCGGGGCACAACGTGCTGCCCTCTGCATGGCGCGACCAGCAGATAAACAGTACGACGTGCTCATCAAACTCCTTTTGATTGGGGATTCCGGTGCGCATGGATCCGCATCCGTGCCCACCGGCCGCAAGGAGCCCACGTCTCACTGGAGCCGCCACAGCGTCCCGTCGGAGTCTTTCCATGACGACCTCCGTCCTCTCCACCCTTGTCTGGGGCCGTCCACTGTCCGCGCCCGGCGGCTGCGCACTGGAGACACGAGAGGAAGATCTCTGCTGCATGCCCGAAAGGCCGCCTGTCCCGTCCGCCGCCTGCGCAGGCGTGGGGAAGAGCTCGATTCTGGTGCGGTTTGCCGACGACTCCTTCTCGCAATCCTTCATCGCCACGATTGGGCGCGTGTGGCCGAGCAGTAGAGACCGCACCCGCACATAGCTGCTAGAGCTGCCACACAGACAGACGGCTGTCGGCGGGTCGGCGGCGCGCCACAGAAGCAGAGAGGCGCCCGGGTGGCGCGGCGCCGCTCTGTGCCAGCTGTTGGGGCCACCTGCATCGCAGATGTTTAGCCTGGTCTTGTCCTCGCGCTTGGCTGGTCTCTGCGCGCTCCACGCCTCACGCCGCTTCACCCGTCGCCACGCCTCGCGCCGCTCGCCGCAGGATCGACTTTAAGATCCGGAGCGTGGAGCTGGACGGCAAGCGAGTCAAACTGCAGATCTGGGACACGGCGGGGCAGGCGCGTCTCGCCCTCTCTCTCCTCTCTCCTCCCCCCTTCCCCTCCTCCCCCTCTCCGCCTCCGTCGTGCAAGCCGCCCCCCTTGCTGCCGCCTGCTACCCGCCTCCACCAGCTACCCGCCTCCACCAGCTACCCGCCCCTCCACCAGCGGAGCCACCCTCCCCGACCCGGTCTCCGCGCGCCCCCGCCGCCACTCTGCCCGAGCCCCTCTCGCGCTCCCCCCCTTACCCCCCCCCCCCCACCACGCCCTACCCCCCGCGCCCTCCCCCCCGCCCCTCACGCTGCCCCCCACCCCCCCGCCCCTCCCCCTGCCCCCACCCCCCCGCCCCTCACCCTGCCCCCACCCCCCCCGCCCGGCCAGGAGCGGTTCAAGACCATCACGACCGCCTACTACCGCGGCGCCATGGGCATCCTCCTCGTCTACGACGTCACCAACGAGGAGCCCCTCCCCGCACCCGCACCCTCCCCGCACCCGCACCGCCCCCTCCCCGCACCCGCACCGCCCCCGCACCCGCACCGCCCCCGCACCGCCCCATCGACACGCAACAGGCCCCTCCGGAGTCACACTCCATTGTCGGCGTCAGCGTCGGCGTCGGCGTCGGCGTCAGTGTCGTAGTCCGTGTTGTAGGACTCCTTCTCCAACATCTCCTCGTGGATGAGGGCCATCGAGCAGCACGCCTCCGACTCGGTCAACAAAGTGCTCCTCGGCAACAAGGCGAGAGGACGCGCAGACTGCTGCACCACAGACAGAGCAGAGAGACAGGGCAGAGAGGCGGCAGAGAGGCGGCAGAGAGGCGGCACGGAGATGTAGCCGAGGCGAACGCACACCTCGGCAAAAAGGAGGCGTCGCCCCCCCCCCCCCCCAGGCAGGCACCCCCCCCCCCCCCCATTCTCCCCCCCCCCTTCTCCCCCCCCCCGCGGCAGGCGGACACGAGTGGTCCGCTCGTCAGCCAGCGCCGCGTCTCGGCCGAGAGGGGGCAGAGGCTCGCGGGAGAGTACGGGCTGCAGTTCTTTGAGGTTTCGGCAAAGAGCAACGTCAACATCGAGCAGGCCGCTCCCCTCAAACCCGCACCCTCCCCCCTCCTCCCCCCCCACCCCCCAACCCTCCCTCCCCCGCGCACCCCTCCCCTCGGCAAGCCTCTCAGCAACGCGCTTCCGACATCACGCCCTCCCTGTTCCAGGCCTTCTTCACGATCGCGCGCGACATCCACGCGCGACTGCAGAACACCTCTGCCGCAGCAGCCGCGGGCGCTTCCGTCCGGTTGGGGGAGGGCAGCGCCAAACCCGGCGGCGCTAAGGCGGGCTGCTGTTGAGGCTGCTGTTGACAGCGACGCCTCGCCCGTTACTGGCTGGCGGCCGTGGCGGCTCGCCCATTGCCCGTTGAGGCAGGGGGCGAGGCTCTCGAGGAAGCCTCCGTTCACCCACTTTTGAGTGTACACAGTCTCTGCGCAGGCGGACCGACCTTGGGTCAGCGTGCAGGTCTCGGTCAGATGACAGACCATCCGATAATGGCTCAATTGTGTAGACATCGCCGTAACCCCCATATGTGAAGTACGCAGATTCCACAATTATTTCGGGGCGATCTCAGGTGTAGACAACACACAGCATCAACGACATCAGGATCAGCCTAGCCCTAGCGCCTAGGCCATGGCATGGCCCGGGCGTTGCGCGAAAATAGAGCAGTCATCTCCAGGAGAGATGGGGCACCGCGCGAACACAGAGGCACAGTACGCACCCCGTAAATAATAAATAAATAAACAAAGAGTTGGACAAATACCAAATTCCAAATCGCAAACATAGAAACCCAAACACAGGCGGCGACGTGGCATACGAGCTCATAGGAGAAGGAGGCGGGCACAACTTCCAAGGACGCACGAGCGAGCGAGACAGCAGCCATGACGATGATGATTCAGCGCGTGAACGCCAACTCGCCGGCACAGGCCGTGAAGAGCCGCGCACGCGGGCCGACGATTACGCAGCTGCGTGCCAAGCAGGCCGCTCTTGTGGCCGCATCCGAGCTCGCGGCTTCGAGTGATGCCGAGGCGAGTGTGGTAAGGCACTCGCCCGTTGACGAAGCCAAGCGGTGGGCAAGCGGCAAAGGCCGCAAAGTGGGCTTCGCAAAAGCACGTGCCACCTTCCGTGGCGGCGGCACGGGAATCGCGGCGACGGCGGCGAAGCACGACTCGCTCATCAAGAAGGCCCGCTGGCGCGGTACCGAGCAAATAATAAATAAAAACGGTCAACTCTGAGACGAGATAGGATTTAGGGACATGTGTCCCCGCCCTGCACGATCTTGGTGTGAGGGATGTGCGCACCCCGTCCCGCTCACAGGGCGTTGAATTTTCTGGTTGAGTGGCCGAAAAATCTTTTGTTTGTGTTTGGTGCCCAGAGCCTCTGGCTGGCAGACGCAGAGCGTGATCAAATGATTGCTTCTCTCGTTCAGCCCGCGCTCGTCTTCGGAGCGGCGGCGTCACGTCGGCCTCGGAGCGGCGGCGGCGTCGGAACGGCGGCGCGGCCTGAAGCCACGTTGGCAGACCAGATGCTGCACCTCATCGGAAAGTGGAGCCTCGACGACGACGTCTCCAAGCCATTCATCACGGACGACGTGCGAGACGCGTGCCTCGTGCCGATCGAGCTGGAATGGCTCAACGACAAGATTTGCTTGATGGAGGAATGCCCCGTGGAACGCCCGGAGGCGATGGCCGCTGCGTGGGAGCGCGTCAAGTTCCAAGGAGAGGGCTGTGTCACCGTCAATGGACTCGCAGCTGAAATCCGGAGCCATTCGTCGTGAGCTTCACTTATACCGATCTCAAATAGTAACAGTACGTGCATAGTGCCAAAATACTGTACCACACAAAGTCAAAGATCGCATGCGGCGGGGACTTGACACTTGTTCCTGTTAAAGCCTTACCCCCATCTCGCGTCTTCTAGTAGGGCCGGTGTCCGTTTTATGTATTTATTCGTACCACACAAAAGTTCAAAAGATTGAGCGCCGAGTTCAATAAAAAAGAAAGCGTGACTCTCGTATCGCAATACTGTGATGTGTCATGTGTGGCGCTCCGGGAGGGTGGAGGGGTGGAGGGTGGAGGGGTGGAGGGGTGGTTGAGCCCTCTAGCTCTATCGATATAGCCCTACCCCTCCCGCCGTTTTAGGGCCTCCCCACCCGCTATGTGCTGAATCACCGGCACCAGCCCGCCGTCACAGATCTTTCCGCATCACGCCGGCAGCCCTTCCCTCACCGGTAGGATACGCGTGGGACCAGTAGAGAGGGTAGAACTCTTGCAAGCGCGCCTCGAGACAAGTGTCGACAAACAGCTCATTCGGCAGGGGGGCTCGTCGACGGGTCAACCAGGAGGCGCTTCGTCTCGAGAGACATGGGCGCGATGCCCCAGATCTCTGGGAGCACGCCGCGGGCGGCCTTCTTGTCGATCGCATCGAAGAAGAGGTCGAGGTGTACGTGCCTCGCCTGTTCTGCGAGAGAGGGAAACTTGACAGCCTTGGCAGCCAGGACGGACACCGCAAAGTCGGCGCCAAGGGTGATCCGGATCGACTCCGCCGAGGCATTGCCAATCTTCTTGACCGTGTCCCGCTGTGCGGCCACGCTGAGCCCGTCCACGGTGGCATTTCCGAGGCTCCCCATCGTGCGGCCCGCGATGGACACGTTCAGCAGGTGGAGCGAGCTATCGACGGGCATCGCGGGGGCCAAGGGCGCCGCCCGGTTCAGATTGACGCTGACTGCCGTCTTGCTCGCGCGGACGACACGCATAGAGTGGATCCAGTCGCCCACCTTTTGGTCGGCGCCAGGCGTTGGACCGGCGGTCGCGAGAATTTCGACGTCGCCTTGCGCAAAGAGCTTGACCTCTTGGCCCGCCGGAAGCCAGTAGCGCGTCTCTACGCCCTCGAATCGTGTCAGGGGGTCGCCGCCCCCGAAGGGGTTGGGCGGGGGCACCAGCATGCAGGGGCCGTTTGCCTCTGGTGGGCAGCCGGTCTGGCAGCCGCACAAATCGATCGGTGCCTCACCGCACTCACAGCCAGCAATGAAAGAGCAGCTGCAAACCTCAAGGCTCACTGGGCAATCCATCTCACAGGCTGGCATCGCGGGGCAGAGCTTCGCGCAGCCAGTAGCTTCCTCGTAGAACTTTAACTCGCCGTTGCACATATAGGGCGCCCAGGTGTCACAGGACGCCCCAAGGATGATCTGAGCCATGGTCGCCGGGACGAGGGCAACACTCATGCTGCTGGTGTGCGTCCGCGCCGGATTGGATTGACTCGATAATTGCGCGAATTCGCCGCGGGCACCGCAAAATCTTTTACCAGAACGGCGGCGGCGGCGGGGCGTGCGCGTCTCGAGGAGGTCGAGAGATTCTCGAGGTTGATATCCTTTGGCCGCGTTGGGTAGCGAGGATTGGTGTGACGCGGTCCACATTATTTTGGACAAAAACACAAAATCTCTCTCTATTTTGCTTTTTGGTGTTTTCTGACAGCCGACCGTCACGATCACACACACAGAGTTGCCCCTTCTCCGACGGCCCCGGCTACCTAGCTAGTAGCCAATTCCCGGGTTGGACCGTCTGTCCGTGGGGGGGAGGGATTCGAGCCCCGGAGGCGGAGCGGGAGGGTTGATACTCGGGCACGACCTGCTCCTCTATCTCGCGCAAACAAAATACCTGGACCGAGTGGCACACTAATACACAGACAGGGAAGGCAACGTAAAAACTTCACTACGCGCGGGAACGCGTGTCCTCGGAGAGACAATGTGGAGGGCCACCGCGTCACAAGCACGCGACGAGACTAACCACCCGGCAAAACGCGCTTTCGCGCCCGGAGCGCAGCTACTCCGGCATGGTCGAGCCCGAGGCGCGCCTCTTCATGTCTGCCGCGAGGTTGCCATTCAGCTTTGCATGTGCCGTGCCGCTCTTGCGGGCGGTCATAGCCTTGGAGTACTTCCAATAGTCGGCGACCCCCTCGGCCCGGGTCTGCAGCGCACCCGCAGACACTGATCCTGTGGCGCGGGTGGAAGATGGTGCGGCAGAGTGTGACAAAAGAGAGGCCGTAAACCACCAGGCCTCCCATCGGGCCCCAGAGTGCGTAACTCACCCGTGCGGCCGGGATGCGACTTGGTTGTGCCCGTGGTGCAGAGCATGGCGGCCGCAGTCGAAGAGACGCCCATCAGGGTCTCGGCATCTGCGCAGGGGTGACGGGTGACTGAGGGCAGCATGTGCGGCGAGGGCAGTGCGCTTCCCGAGGTTGCACCGCTGGTGATCTTTGAGCAGTACTCCTGGACTGTCAGACCCGCCGCATCGAGCTTGTCCAGGAGGCAGGGCTCACCCGTGTTTGGGTTGGTGGATGGCCGCCGGGCCACAGGGCCGTTGATGTAGCCTGTGCGGGAGGCAGGAGAGAGGTGGGAGGGCCAGCGGAGGGGCAGCGGGAAACGGCCGATAGATACTCGAGTAGAGACGCTGGTAGCTCGAATTGCCAGTCGCTTCGAGAGAGAGAGATTTTTAGAAGCCAACAAGAAATGTGTACGTGTTCGCTTCGATGGGCTGCATGACAAGCAAACGAGAGGAGGAACTTCTGAATACGTCCATGGCAGAGTTCCAGCCAGCCAGCTCTCCCATGGCGGTCGATTCCCTCTTTCTTTCGACGTGGCAAAAACGGACGATTACCTTTCCAGCGTTAGCGACTCGCTCACGGCCCCGTGAGAAGGATCAATTTCCCCGCTTGGGCGACACAGATGCCAGCCACAAGCGGGGCCGCCCCGAGGAATTCCTGATTCCGCGTCGACGTCGGCTTAGGCAGGGGCGGCGCCGACTGACCGCGCCCTTATTAGTTAGGCGGCGAGAATGCCAGGTAGTGATGAAGTATTCAAGGGTGCAGCACCGCGTCTCGGTGATCGCCGATCGTGCGCCATTGTGGTAACTGTGCGTTGTGTCGTTGGTGTACGTTGGAGTATTACGTGTGTGGGAGCATGAACCTGTAGAGTGCGTACGGGGGCTCCCACTATCCTCTCCCTCTAATGCCTGATTACATACCGTCCGTGAGGCAGCATGTATGACCACCACAGCCTCGCACCCCCCCCGCCAGCGGCACACAAAATATGCGGCGATGACCGTATCCTTTGAGCTTGTGTACAGCCACGCCCTCCACGCGCGGCGGAGATGGCAGATGCGCCGCACGCGCACGTCAGCTCGCGAGTCCTGTCGGCTCGTGGGGCTCGACGTTCACGATCCTCATCCAGTCGCATCGCGAACCGCGCGGCCGCGGCGAGTCGCAAACCCGCAACCGTCGTGTACTGCTACTGGCTGGCTGGTGTAGTTTCTGTGAGCTCGCTACGCCCACTGCCGCTCATCGCCAACTGGCACATCCCGCTGCAGAACTTTCCGCAGGTAGACCTATGGGGGCTTGTTCTATTGTGTGTTACCTTTCTTTCTTCTGGTGACCTCCAGCTATAGTCACTCACTTGAGTGAGCACTGGCCGAGCGCTCAAGCGCAGTAGCCATGGATGGCAGTAGCCGGTTGGTCTCATGCCTCAGCGTGTGTCGGCCCTCAACGGAGGAATTGACGCGCGGTCCATGTACCATACCCCCAAGAGTTGGAACCCTCGCCTTGCCGTTGCCCCTTGCCCTCTGCGCACGCCGTTTCCAGTTCCACCATCTCGGCCACATTTTCAGAAAAGAAATTCTGCAAAGGGGTGTGAACGGAGAGAGCAAACTCCTGGCAGCTCCCACAGCCGAAATGTGCGCCAGCTGCCCGCTCACCTGTGTCACGCCGCCGCGCACGCACCTTGCTATGTGCTCGCGCGAGCTCCCGCCCGAACCTCCAGCTCGGCGTCCCACTGCTTGGGAGCCGATCGCTTTTCCTCGGCGCTCGCGTCGAGCCGAGCTCTCGGCACTCTACGGCGGGCGTCGCTGTGCGGGGCGCCCGTTTCCTGCTGGCCCGAGCGGAAAGCTCCACGCGCCCGCGCGAGCTCCCGGCCGAGCCTCCAGCTCGGCGTCGCACTGCTGAGGAGCAATTTGTCGTCCGTCGGTGCTCTCGAGGAGCCGAGCTCCTTGGCCTGCGGCCGGCGACGCTGCAGGACGGCGCGCGCGCACCGGG